TGATGAGATTGGCAGCTACGTTGTGACTCCTGATGGCTTTGCTGCCCCCACCACCCTTCCTCCCCACCAGTGATTAGGGAGAAAGTCACCCTAAAAGTTGTCACCACGTGCACCTTCCACTCAGCCTCTTCTGGTTTTAACTCCCCATTCCTACTTTTAAACCCCAAAAAACCTCACACCACCCAACCAAAGTCAGCAATTCTCCCTTTTTTCTTTCCTTTGTTCATTCATGTATTCATTTACTCAGCAAATGGTAACTGGGTGTTTAATATCTGCCAGGAACTGTGCTAGGAGCCAGGAATAGCATGGAGAGCAAAGTCAGGCACCATTCCTTAAGCCCAGAGCGGGGATACAGATTTACCAAGCAATGTTAGACATGAGGGCAATTCTAAATGCAGCCATGAGATAAATGCTCTGCAGGAAAGGAGTGTGGTTCCTTGAGATCATATCACAGAAGAGCCTGTCCTAGACTTGGATGTACGGTTCATGAAAGGCTGCCCTGAAAATAGGATGCTTGTGTTGGCATCTGAAGCTGAGTTGTAAACTAGGTGAAGGTGGGAGTGAGGAGAGTAGCAGACAGGAGGAACGTGTTCAAGGCCCTATGGCAGGAAATGCAATGGCTTATTTCAGGAACGATATAAGGCAATGTGGTACAGCTGGAGCATCAGGAGCAAGGAGGAGGGAGTGAAGTGAGGCTGTAGCTAAGGCAGAGGCCAGGCTCTGTGGGTGGGACCTTCCTTGCAGGGTTGAGACCTTTACTGTAAAAGCAATGGGAAGCCAATGAAGAGTTTTACATATATGTGGGAAGGGAAGGAGTGGGTAGATGGATGACAGATTTTCATTTTAAAAGATTACCTTTTATTGCCCGGACTTGCGGCAGCTTCTGTCACTATAGAAACCATGTATGATCTCTGACCTTCACCAGGGCCAACTTCAGCCTTTAAAACCATGCTTGCAAATGAAATAAGGAAGTGCTGAGTTCTAGAAAATGTCACTTTCTCTTTCATCTGTGTGTAAAAAGATAGTCAAAACAAACAGAACTGTGACTAACGTTTAGATCATTTAGCCAATCTTGATACTAGCATGAGTTTTTGTATGATATTCAGCATGTTATTAGCATTTTCATAGAAGTTAGCCTTTGGTGCTTCCAGGTAAGAGCACCAAATCAGCTTATCTCTAGGGTTGGGAATAAGAATAGATGATATTGCTTCCCTTGTGAGATTTTGGTCCAAGTTGGGCAGGTAACTTTCCACCTGTCACAGTTGCAGTGTCTAGACCTTTGAGTTGCCCATTCATTGTTCGATGTGGAGCTGACAGTGGTTGTGAAGTTGATTCCATTCAGATCCCCTCTTCACATTCTTTTCTTTTCTTTTTTGCAACAGACATACCTTCACAACCCCCCTCCTTCATTCCACCTTTCTAGTGTAGTATATCTGATTGTCACAAGTTAGATTCTCTGGAAACAAGTGCTGAGATGCAATTTGGAGTACAAGATGGTTATCAGGGATCAGCACCTGTAGAGGAAAGAAAGAAAAGCAGGATTGGGCAGAGGGAGAAGTCCAACAACTCCAACCCTGCAAATCCTCAGGTGACCCATTGGGAAGTTCTGGATTGTGTATTGCCCATCAGAGTGTCCTGTGTTAGGCCAAAGTGACTGGAATTTTACCCCTGTCTCATTCAGTCACAGGACAGATGTGGGCTGCCCTGGGAGGGTATGACCTAGGGCCAGGTGGCTCTCTGTAGCTGAAACACACCTTAATCTTAATCTCTGCAGCCAGGCACTCAGTCTTTTCTTGAAGGGGTACCTAGGGCACATCTCCATGTCTACCACAACAACCACCTGATTTGTGACATTGGTAGGCTTTAAATTGTAACCGTGTCAGGCTGTAGAAAAAAACCTTTTCCTTTTTCACCTAGAGTTACGGCCTTTCAATGAATAAAAAAGTGATTGTTTTGAGAAACAATGAAAATATAAAGGGAAGCTCTAATAGTGGATTCTGTGAAATCATGGGAATTGCACATGAATTTGAAACTGCTAAATCCACAGAAGTAAGTTAATAATGCAAAGCTCCACTTATGAAATGCGAGCCACTGTTTTTGAAAGGATAAAACAAAGCCTTGCAAGTGTAGAGCACTTCAGTTTTCAAAGTGCCTTCTCATGTCATTTGAGTTCCATAAGCCTGTGAAGGGGGGCAGGGCAGGTCTTATAACCATTTCACAGATGAGGAAGTCAGGGCTCAGGAAAGCTTAAGTGATCTGCTCGAGGTCACACTGTTGAAACTTCATCAGCCTTCATGTATGCCCTGTTTATCAAAAGTAGGAACCTTTTTGGCCCCCATCTTGGGCCACTCAGGAATGCTCAAAATGATGGACAGGAAGTGAAATAATAGAGCAGGGAGAGGATTCAAAGTGATAGAGTGGAAAAGCGCTCAGACTGGCACTTGGCTCCAAGGCTTAAAAAAAAAAAAACCTGGGGCAGGCACTGCATGCAAGCATGTGTAAGCTAGTCAAGAGAGAAAGCCACGCCTGGTCTAGCAGATTAAGGAGGGGTGTTAAGAGAGCGATGATGTAAGAATGTGATTTCCTAGAAACCATGTAGAGGAACTGTCATCTCCGCAGTGAAGAGGTGCATATAGGTCCTAAAAAAGAAGTGAATTTGGGGCCTGATAGCCTAAGACCTTTCCTCCTCCCTGGGTTGCAAAGGCAGAGTAACAAGCTAGAACAGATATGCCTTACCTCTCCAGAGAGACTGGTTGGGAAGGACCAAAAGGGATTTCTGCCAATATCAAGGCTGGAGAAGATGACACCCTATCTGCTGAGCCTGGAGACTCAAGCCAGGGACCAGAGAAGTGGCCCTAGCCAGGGAAGCTTAGGTCATACCGTAGACCCTAAACCTGTGATACTTTCTTAAAGTCGTGTGAGTAAACACATGGTCTCCAAACCACCCCTGATTCTGGGAATAAGAATAAGAGGGTACCAGTATCTGGGCACCAGTGAGTATCCTGGGAGATGGACCTGGCTAGATGAGGTAGGGAAGTTGTGCAGGTGTGCTGAGTCTATCTCTACTTCTGAGCCTGGGAGATGTGAGAAAACAGGAAAATGAGAGTCTTCCCACAGGGACTTGATGGGGGAATTGATAACCACCATTTGTGGATCTGTCTCTTCTGAGAAGGCACTCCTGCTGCTGGCCCTAAGCCCAGAGAGCTTACATTAGAAAACATTACTCTCATACTCAAGGGGTGCAGCAATGCTCTTAGAAGAGGCTCACATGAAACCAAGCCACTAGAGAACAGTAATAAGTATAAAAATATTAACATTAGGACCTAAACATTCCAGTAGAGCACAAAAAGAGTTTCTGGAGCCAAATGACAAGATCTGCAGACAAATTCAGTAGCTGGAGGAAAGAGAGGTAATAGCTAATAAGAAGTAAATTTCCCAAGTTAAGAAAGGGCCCGAGTTTGCTGATTGGAAAATTTTGGCAAGTTCTGGGTAGGACAAATGATTCACAGGTTAGGAAATTCCAGAAGTCTAAGGATGAAAAGAAAATCTTACAATCTTCCAAAAAGAAAGTGCAAGTGACTTATAGGGGAAGAAGGATCATGGAGGCATCAATTTTCTCTTCTATAACACCTAAAGTAGGGACTATTGAGGCCAATTGTGTGAAGATTACTGAGAGAAAAACACTGCACACCAAGACTCCTATAGCAAGACCCCACTCCTCTGTCAGGGCCAAGTAAGCATGGTTGAGAACATGCAAGGAAAAGACATGTCACCCACGTCTTCCATCAGAGAAAAAGGTGTTAAGATCTAACCAAACAATAGATGGATCAGCTTAAAGGCTGCAGGATGGAAGGAGGAGGAAAAGGGAGAAAAAAATTAGTGGTGAGCAAGGAGCCTTACAACACATCATCAGTTAAATTCAGACAGATAATAATAGTCTTCAGGAATGTGTAATAAAATTGCTGAAAATAGAAGAGACATATTTCAAGGGAAATGTTAACAATAGCCTGGAACAAAAAGTTCTAAAGGAGAAAGAGGGGAAGTGAAGTTTCCACAGGTCTCACTTTGGTGTGTGAGGGAGGGAAGTGAAAGCGTTCTAAAGGCCTCATGCTGGGGGAGGAAGAACAGTAGGAGAAGAGAGAATCAGGGAAATAGTTGGACTTTTATCTCGGTATAATGTAATAAAAGAATGAGTTTCACTATGAGTAACAAAAAGAAGAATGAGCTGGTAGAATGAAAAACTAGAGCTCCCAAATTAAGAAGAGAAATAAAATAACTGAGTAGTAACTTGATACCTAATTAATATAAAGAACATGGAGGGGCCTTAAGTGAGTACTAAATATTAAGTAAAATAGAAGAAATAAAATTCAGTGTATTAATAAATGTGAATAGACAGAATTATTTGTAAAAGAGAGACTATTGGATTGGGTAATAAAAAGCAGACAGTTACATGCTTTCTTGTATATATATATATATATATATATATACATGTACATCTATTGTATATATTGTTGTATGTATTATATATAAATATGTATATATACACACAAGAAAAAAATACATTTAACAAATGTGATAAAAGTTGAGAATAAAAAGGCAAGAAAAGATACCAGGTAGGCCGGGTGCAGTGGCTCAAGCCTGTAATCCCAGCACTTTGGGAGGCCGAGGTGGGTGGTTCACGAGGTCAAGAGATCGAGACCATCCTGGTCAACATGGTGAAACCCCGTCTCTACTAAAAATACAAAAAATTAGCTGGGCATGGTGGCATGTGCCTGTAATCCCAGCTACTCAGGAGGCTGAGGCAGGAGAATTGCCTGAACCCAGGAGGCAGAGGTTGTGGTGAGCCGAGATCGCGCCATTGCACTTCAGCCTGGGTAACAAGAGCAAACCTCTGTCTCAAAGAAAAAAAAAAAAAAAAGATACCAGGTAAATGCAAATAACAAAGCAGGAAAGAATTACTATGTTAATACCCAATAAAATGAAATGTAAAGAGCACTGAACAAGATAGAGTTGCTATGTAATGCTAAGATAATTTGCAAAAAGTCTCTAACGAGTATGTGTTAAAAATCAAATGTGAAAAATAGTAAAGCCATGTATGATTTCAGTACCTTTCTTCTTTACAGACAGCAAGAAGTTGCTCCCCCTGAACATGGCCCCATTCTATCCAGTCCTACCTCATAATCATTCTGGGTTACACAAATACATATGCTCTTGCAAAGATGCAAACAGGCTAACTATACTTAGCTCCTTCTGGGTCAGTAGTTATAGGTTTGCCCCCATTCCTTATTTCTATGAGGAGGAATTTCCCTAAAATGCCACAGGTCCTCTTCCCCTTCTCCCCCATTGCTTCTCACCAGAGAGGAGGAATGTCTTTTTGACTCATCTTCTTCACTTCTCTTCCTTCCTCTGCGTAGCCAGCCTTATCAGCAAGCTCTCATTCTGATCTGCTCTCACGTGATTCCAGCTCTCCAGGTGCAGCCTCTGTGCAGGAAGGCCTGGCATGCCCAGTGCTGCCTGTGATTGGTGAGTCTGTCTTTGTCATTTGGAAAAGTTATTACTGGACGTTTAATGTCACCTTTTCCAGTGTCAGCTTTATCCCTAATAAAAGTGACATTTTGGTCTCCATCTGACTAGCTCTCATCCTACCACCTGATTGGTTTAGAATTCTGGTGGGGAAAATAGGAACTGAATTCTGGGGGTCTCCATACAACTCCAAAACCACCTTATTCTTCCCAAAGTCAACCAGCTATCTTGAATGTGGCTAGATTCCTCATCTGCGCTTCCTCATCCCTCATTCCTTCCTCAAGTCACAGCCATGTAGCTTCTCCTCCCACTAAACATTGAACCCATCTTGCAAGGTCGCTGATGACTTATTTCAAAATACAATGAAACTTTTCAGTCTAAAGGTCAATTTTACTTGCAGTCTCTGCAACTTTCAAAGCTCTTCATCATTTCCTCCTCCTTGGCATTCCTTCCTCTCCGAAATTCCATGACATTACTTTCTCTTGCTTTTCCTCGTGCTTCTCTGACTCTTCCTTCTCAGCCTCCCTGAACTGTTCTTCAACCTCTATGCTCCTCAGTTGCTAGTGTTCTCCAGGGTTTTGCCTTACATCCTCACTCTGTGGTCTCTTCCTTGGTGATTTTATCCACTGCCGAGGCTTCTAATTACCACATATACCCCAACCCTGCCTGCTGCCCAGGGCTCTCTTTAAAATTCTAGACTCAAAGGGCCAAGTACCAGTGGTGTGACTCCATGTGTGATGGAAGAAGGTACCATGTCATTTTATTTTTTATTGCTTTATTAATGACAGCAAGATTTTTTTCATATTTTACTGATAAGTTGTGCATGTTTGTAGGTGCATGTGTATACATCTTTCCCTCACTTGACATTTCTTATGCTCCTTCCCTCCTCTTTTTTTCTGTCCTGCACCTTAGTTTGGGTCACAACACACTTCAGTGATGTTGCTGTGCCACTTCTCCAAGTGCAGCTTCTGCTCCCAGTCTGCTAGTTTGTGATCTCAGACTCGATTCTTCAGTGCTTGTGATATGTGCAAACACAGGGACTGTGTATATCACACAGACCACGACCCCACCCCTGCCTACTCTCTCTCTCTCTGCCCTATTTCTCACCATTCCACCCTTGTGCCTTATGTTCCTTCTACCAGCTTCCAGGAAGTACCTGCTCCCTCCCTGCTCCTTGCCTCTTCTCCCCTTCTCTGACTGACTGACTTTATTCTTTAAAACACACTTCTGGTGTCCCTTCTGGGAAGGCCTCCAGCCCCACCTCCCAGGGAGGGCTAGCTGCCCTGACTCTGCGTTCCCACTGTAATTGTATTTACCCATTCTGGTGTATATGTGGTCATTTCGCAATGGCCTGTCACTCTCTGTCTTGCTGCCAGGCTGTGCACTCCTTGGGGATACACCTTGCTCATCTAATACTTCCAGAACTTCATGCACTCCTGGCATGTGGTAGATGTTCAATACATTTTTGAATGACTGAATATGTGACAGAAGGCAGTGCCCTTACAATTTATTCCTGAGATCTCCCTTCCCGACCACTGGATTCACTCACTGAAGGGAAGTGATCAGTTTCCTACCAGCAGCACCCTCTGCCCACTGAGAGATGGTGCTCCACGGGGAAACTCTTCATCCCTGGTGGTATTTGAAGGGAGTTCTCCATACATGTTAACCTTGTAAAATTTCCCTCCATCATTGGCCCTGGCCTTGCTGACTTTCCCATTATATTTCTTTGCGGGTTGCCGGGGGCGGGGGGGGGGGGCACTACTAATGCCTTGTCTTCTGCTGTTTCACAAGAGGCCCCTGGCCTTAATGTCCAAATAGACATTGAAAATGGGTGGAAAGCCCAGGAACAATCAGCTCTCACAGGGTGACTTGTTGGTATCTCCTGCCCCTCTAGTTTGTCATTGCCTGGCTCCTGCTGAGTCTGGAGTGGGGTCCTATGTGCTGAAGCGGTAGCCTCCTGTTAGAGTGCTCCAGGTCATCTCAGCGTGGACCAACATCTGTTATGGCCAAGAGCCTGACATCCCAGAGTCAGTGATGAGAAGGGAAGAGGTAGGCCATGGTAAGAACATGGCTCAGACTCATATGGGAGTGTATTAGTCGGGTTCTTCAGAGAAACAGACCAATAGGATATATACAGAAAGAGATTTATTGTGAGGAATTGGCTCACACAATTATGTAGGCTAACAAATCCCAAGATCTGTAGGGTGAGTTGGCATGTAGGAGACCTACTAGAGTGTAGGTCCAGTCTGAGGACCAGCAGGCTCATGACCCAGGAAGAGCCAATGTTTCAGTTTGTATCTGAAGGCAGGAAGAAGCCAATGTCCTACCTTGAAGCCAGTCAGGCAGCAGCAATTCTCTTACTTGGGGGACAATAACCTTTTTGCTGTATTCAGGCCTTCAGCTGATCTTTTGAGGCCCACTTGCATTGGAAAGGGCAATCTGCTTTACTCTAACTCATTACATTTAAATGTGAATCACATCCAGAAACACCCTCCCCAACACACCCAGAAAAATATTTGACCAAATATCTGGGCACCCTAGAACCCAGTCAAATTGACACATGAAATTAACCATCACAGGGAGCAATAGGGTGATCAGGTCACTCTCAACTCCAGCTGTTGGAAGGCACACCTAACCTACACACACACACACACACACACACACCCCTGCCACTAACTCAGGATTCCCAGTGAGGGAGGTTCTACCCGTTAAGAGGTATCTTTGGAAATTAAGGGAGGCATTTGTTACTATCACAGTTTGTTACCACAATGAATGTGGGATGCTGCTGACATTTAGTGGACAGGAGTGGGGATGTCAGATGCTCTGCAGTGGTCAGGACCATCCACATCACAAGTGACTGCCCCTCATGACTTTCAAATGTCCCACTCGATGTTTATGTCCATGAAAACCTGTTAATGCTTAGTTAGATCTAGCATCCAACCCCATTTTATATAGAAACACAGAGGATTTTCTTTTTTTGCAGTTTTAACATACAGTGAATTTTTCAGGAATGCCGTCTAGAGTGAAGATGATGCATATTTGTTCAGGACTTTATGAAGACTGCTCACCATTTTGGAAAATCATGTTATGAATGGCAATGCTAATCACAGTGTTTGGGCCATCCTAACAACACATGTGATCTGTATGCATTTATAGCTATTGCATTCATGGTGACTCTATACATAGGTGCAGACATCTAACTACTCAATAGGTTTTCCAGTGCAGTCATGTACAAGTTTTTTCAGATACCGAAATGCTTATTTTTATTTTTTTTTAATTGTACTTTAGGTTCTGGGGTACATGTGCAGATCATGCAAGATTGTTGCATAGGTACATACATGGCAAGGTGGTTTGCTGCCTTCATCCCCCCCATCACCTATATCTGGCATTTCTCCCCTTGTTAACCCTCTCTGCCCTCCCCACCCCCCACTCTCCCTCCCCTAGCCACCTCCAACTGACCACAGTATGTGATGCTCCCCTCCCTGTGTCCACGTGTTCTAATTGTTTAATCCTATGAGTGATAACATGCAGTGTTTGGTTTTCTGTTCTTGTGTCAGTTTGCTGAGAATAATGGTTTCCAGATTCATCCATGTCCCTATGAAGAACATGAACTCATCTTTTTTTATGGCTACATAGTATTCCATGGTGTATATGTGCCACATTTTCTTTATCGAGACTATCATTGATGGATATTTGGGTTGGTTCCAGGTCTTTGCTATTGTAAACAGTGCCACAATGAACATAGATGTACATGTGTCTCTATAATAGAACAATTTATAATTATTTGAGTATATACTCAATAATGGGATTGCTGGGTAAAATGGTATTTCTATTTCTAGGTCCTTGAGGAACTGCCACTCTGTCTTCCACAATGGTTGCACTAATTTGCACTCCCATCAACAGTGTAAAAGTGTTCCTATTTTTCCACATCCTCTCCAGCATCTATTGTCTCCAGATTTTTTATTGATCGCCATTCTAACTGGTGTGAAATGGTATCTCAATGTAGTTTTGATTTGCATTTCTCTAATGACCAGTGATGATAAACATTTTTTCATATGTTTGTTGGCCTCATAGATGTCTTCTTTTGAAAAGTGTCTGTTCATATCCTTTACCCACTTTTGAATTGGTTTGTTTGTTTTTCTCTTGTAAATCTGTTTTACTTCTTTGTAGTTTCTGGATATTAGCTTTTGTCAGATGGGTAGATTGCAAAATTTTTTTCCCATTCTGTTAGTTGCCATTTCATTCTAATGATTGCTTCCTTTGCTATACAGAGGCTCTGGAGTTTAATTGGATCCCATTTGTCTATTTTGCCTTTTTTTGCCATTGCTTTTGGTGTTTTAGCCATGAAGTCCTTGCCTATGCCTATGTCCTGAATGGTTTTGCCTAGGTTTTCTTCTAGGATTTTTATGGTGTTAGGTCTTATGTTTAGATCTTCAATCCATCTGGAGTTAATTTTAGTGTAAGGTGTCAGGAAGGGGTCCAGTTTCTGCTTTCTGCACATTGCTAGCCAGTTTTCCCAACACCATTTATTAAACAGGGAATCCTTTCCCCATTGCTTGTTTTTCTCAGATTTGTCAAAGATCAGATGATTGTAGATGTGTGGTGTTGCTTCTGAGGCCTTTGTTCTGTTTCATTGGTCTACATCTCTGTTTTGGTACCAGTACCATGATGTTTTGATTACTGTAGCCTTATAGTATAGTTTGAAGTCAGGCAGCAGGATAGCTCCAGCTTTGTTCTTTTTGCTTAGGATTGTTTTAGCTATGCAGGCTCTCTTTTGGTTACATAGGAAGTTTGAAGTGGTTTTTTCCAGTTATGTGAAGAAGGTCATAGGTAGCTTGATGGGTATAGCATTGAATCTATAAATTACTTTGGGCAGTATGGCCATTTTCATGATGTTGATTCTTCCTAGCCATGAGCATGGAATGTTTTTCCATCTGTTTGTGGCCTCTCTTATTTGGTTGAGCAGTGGTTTGTAGTTCTCCTTGAAGAGGTCCTTTATATCCCTTGTTAGTTGTATTCCTAGGTATTTTACTCTCTTTGTAGCAATTGTGAATGGGAGTTCACTTCTGATTTGGCTCTCTGTTTGTCTGTTATTGGTGTATAGGAATGCTTGTGATTTCGGCACATTGGTTTTGTATCCTGAGACTTTGCTGCAGTTATCAGTTTCAGGAGATTTTGGGCTGAGACAATGGGGTCTTCTAAATATACAATCATGTCATCTGCAAACAGAGATAATTTGGCTTCTTCTTTTCCTAATTGAATACCTTTATTTGTTTTTCTTGCCTGATTGCTCTGGCTAGAACTTCCAATGATATATTGAATGAGAGTGGTGAGAGAGGGCATCCTTGTCTTATGCCAGATTTCAAAGGGAATGCTTCCAGGTTTTTCCTGTTCAGTATGATGTTGGTTGTGGGTTTGTCATAAATAGCTTTTATTAATTTGTGATAGTTCCATTGATACCTAGTTTATTGAGGGTTTTTAGCATAAAGGGCTGTTGAATTTTGTCAAAGGCCTTTTCTGCATCTATTGAGATAATCACGAGGTTTTTGTCTTTCGTTCTGTTTATATGATGGATTACATTTATAGACTTGTGTATGGTGAACCAGCCTTGCATCCCTGGGATGAAGCCTACTTGATCATGATGAATAAGCTTATTGATTTGCTGTTGCATTCTGTTTGCCAGTATTTTATTGATAATTTTTGTGTTGATGTTCATCATGGATATTGGCCTGAAGTTTTCTTTTTTTGTTGCATCTCTGCCCAGTTTTGGTATTAGGATGATGTTGGTCTCATAAAATGAGCTGGGGAGGATTCCTTCTTTTTGGATTGTTTGGAATAGTTTCAGAAGGAATGGTACCAACTCCTCTTTGTATGTCTGGTAGAATTTGGCTGTAAACCTGTCTGGACCTGGGCTTTTTTTAGTTTGTAGGCTATTAATTTCTGCCTCAACTTCAGCCCTTGTTATTGGTCTATTCAGGGTTTCAACTTCTTCCTGGTTTAGTCTTGGAAGACTGTAAGTGTCCAGGGATTTATCCATTTCTTCCAGATTTACTGGTTTGTGTGCATAGAGTTGTCTATAGTAATCTCTGATGGTGGTTTGTCTTTCTGTGGAATCAGTGGTGATGTCCCCTTTATTGTTTTTTATTGCATCTACTGGATTCTTCTTTCTTTTCTTTTTTATTAGTCTGGCTAGTGGTCTATCTATTTTGTTGATGTTTTCAAAACACTAGCTCCTGGATTTGTTGATTTTTTGAAGGATTTTTTGTGTCTCTGTCTTTTTCAGTTCTGCTCTGATCTTAGTTATTTCTTGTCTTCTGCTAGCTTTTGAGTTTTTTGATCTCGCTCCTCTAACTCTTTCAATTTTGATGATAGGGTGTTGATTTTAGACCTTTCCTTCCTCCTCATGTGGGCATTTGTTGCTATGAATTTCCCTCTAGACACTGCTTTAAATGTGTCCCAGAGATTCTGGTATGTTGTGTCTTCATTCTCATTGGTTTCGAATAACATCTTTATTTCTGCCTTTATCTCATTGTTTATCCAGTCGACATTCAGGAGTCAGTTGTTCAGTTTCCATGAAGTTATGTGGTTCTGAGTGAGTTTCTTAATCCTGAGCTCTAATTTGATTGCCCTGTGGTCTGAGAGACTGTTATAATTTCCACTCTTTTGTATTTGCTGAGGAGTGACTTACTTCCAATTATGTGGTTGATTTTAGAGTAACTATGATGTGGTGCTGAGAAGAATGTATACTCTGTGGATCTGGGGTTGAGAGTTCTGTAAATGTCTATCAAGTTCACTTGGTCCAGATCTGCTTTCAAGTCCTGGATTTCCTTGTTGATTTTCTTTCTCGTTGGTCTATCTAATATTGACAGTGGAGTGTTAAAGTCTCCCACTATTATTGTGCAGGAGTCTAAGTTTCTTTGTATGTCATTAAGAACTTGCTTTATATATCTGGGTGCTCCTGTATTGGGTGCATATACATTTAGAATAGTTCACTCTTCTTGTTGTATTGATCCTTTTACCATTATGCAATGCCCTTCTTTGTCTCTTTTGATTTTTGTTGGTTTAATATCCATTTTATCAGAGACTAGGATTGCCACCCCTGCTTTTTTTTGCTTTCCATTTGCTTGATAAATCTTCTTCCATCCCTTTATTTTGAGTCTATGTGTGTCTTTGCATGTGAGATGGGCCTCCTGAATACAGCACACTGATGATTCTTGGCTTTTTATCCAATTTGCCAGTCTGCATCTTTTGATTGGGGCATTTAGTTCATTTACATTTAATGTTAATATCGTTATGTGTGAATTTGATCCTCCCATTTTATTACTGGTTTGTCCTTTGGTTGGTGTAATTTCTTTATTGCATCTTTGGTCTTTACCATTTGGTTCTTTTTTGCAGTGGCTGGTTCTGGCTTTTCCTTTCTGTGTTTAGTGCTTCCTTCAGGAGCTCTTGTGGGGCAGGTCTGGTAGTGACAAAATCTCTCAGCAATTGCTTGTCCATAAAGGATTTTATTTCTCCATCACTTATGAAGCTTAGTTTGGCTGGATATGAAATTCTGGGTTGAAAATTCTTTCTTTAAGGATGTTCAATATTGGCCCCCACTCTCTTCTGGCTTGTCGGGTTTCTGCCAAGAGATCTGCTGTGAGTCTGATGTGCTTCCCTTTGTGGGTGACATGATCTTTCTCTCTGGCTGCCCTTAGTATTTTTTCCTTTGTTTCAACCCTGGTGAATCTGATGATTATGTGCCTTGGGGTTGCTCTTCTAGAGGAGTATCGTTGCGGTGTTCTCTGTATTTCCTGTATTTGAATGTTGGCCTGCCTTGCTAGATTGGAGAAGTTCTCCTGGATAATATCCTGAAGAGTGTTTTCCAGCTTGGATTCATTCTCCCTGTCATCTTCTGGTACACCAATCAAGCATAGATTAGGTCTTTTCACATAATCCCATATTTCTTGAAGGCTTTGTTCATTTCTTTTCACTCTTTGTTCTGTTTTCTTGCCTTCTCATTTTATTTCATGGAGTTGATCTTCAATCTCTGATATCCTTTCTTCTGCTCGATCTATTCAGCTATTGAAACTTGTATATGCTTTTCGAAGTTCTTGTGCTGTGTTTTTCAGCTCCATCAAGTCATTTATGTTCTTCTCTAAGCTGGTTACTCTAGTTAGCATTTCTTCGAAGCTTTTTTCAAGGTTTTTAGTTTCTTTGCATTGGAATAGAACACGTTCCTTTAACTTAGAGAAGTTTGTTATTACCTACCTTCTGAAGCCTGCTTCTGTCAATTCATCAAATTCGTTCTCTGTCCTGCTTTGTTCCCTTGCTGGTGAGGAGTTGTGATCTCATGGTGGGGGAGAGATGTTCTGGTTTTTGATGGTTTCATTCTTTCACTGGTTTCTCCCCATCTCTTGGATTTAGATAGTTTTGATCTCAGGTAGCTGCTTAGGGAGGTGGCCTTTCCTTTGTCTGCCTTCAGAGGCGCTGCTGGGCTGCCACCAATTCAGTGGAGCTGCTGCATCTTTTATTTACTCAGGAAAATTAGGTGATTAGGTGGGCTTCTGCAATGGTGGCTTCCCTTCCCCGCACCGAGCTCGATCATTCCTGATTGCTACCAAACTGATGTTCTGAGTGCGAAACTCTGAGTAAGAGTATTTTAGCCTGCTGGGCTTTGCCCAGGTCGGGGGACCCATCTTGCCCTATGGGCTGTTTCCCTGTTTTCAGTTCCCCTTCTTTCTGGGGGTGGATGGCTCCATCCAGCCGGCTTTCTGGCTTTCAGATCAGCCAATGCTTCCACATAGAAGTATGCTGACAGCCCCCGCACTGGCTGAAGTTGCTGTTCTGCCCTGTTCAGGCAGCTAGCTGAAGCTTTTCAGCCCTGCAAAGACCTCCTGTTCTGTGGGTTGTAGAGGGCTTGGGTGGAGTGCTGTATCCGAACAGAGGTTCCAAAGCGGGAGATCCCCTGGTCCTCCAGTCGGTTACATGCACCTCTTGGGTGGGGCAGTGCCCCGCCTTGCCTCAACTTGCCCTATTTGGTTTATACCCACTGTCCAACCAGACCCGGAGAATTAGCCTGGTACCTCATTTGGAATTGTGGAGACCACTCAGTTTCTGCATCTCTCTCGCTGGGAACTGCTTTCCGGAACTGCCTCTTATTCAGCCATCTTGGGATCCTGAAATGCTTATTTTTCTATAAAATTGATTTTGTTTCTTGATTATAACACAGTGAGTGCATTACATTTTTTTGATATTATGAATTTGGGGAGGAAATTTTGTGTGTAGGTAGATATATTATCTATGGGTTTCATTTGAGCATAACAAAAGGAGAGTTACAAGTTACGTGTTGCTTGTTTGTTTGCATTTGTTTGGTTTTTTCCAAGATGGAGTCTTGTGTTATAAGAAGGCACACTGAGTCTGATGTGGCAGACAGCCACTATTCTAACTGAACTAGTGCCTGTGAAGAACATGCTTCTGTCTGTTGGGCTGAGCCCCAAGGGGCCTAGGGACACTGGATCCTGAAGACACTGGGTCCTTGATAACCTTCTTTTCCACTTTGAGGAAACTTCAGAGATTAAGTCCCCAAGCAACTGACTGATAAATCCTACTCCTCAGTGTCACTGGACTATTTCTCTGTTCTGCCAAGGAATGGAATAATAGAATCAAGAGGCTTCACACCTAGTTCCTCCCAGGAGCTTGTAGGCCCTGCCTCCTCCATGAAGGCCTCCCTGATCAGCTCCACATTGAGGAGCCTCTTTCTCCACTTCTCTGTTCTGCCCACACTTGTTGCAACTTAACTTTTTCTTCATGAATTCATTTCTTATGTTCTCAAAATGACTGTAAACTCCTTGAGGGAAGAAATGGATGTGTTCTATGTCCTAAGGCATTCATTAAGAATGTCAAATGGGCCAAGCATGGTGGCTCACATTTGTAATCCCAGCACTTTGGGAGGCCAAGGTGGGTGGATCACTTGAGGCCAGGAGTTTGAGAGCAGCCTGGGCAACGTGGTGAAACTCCACCTCTACTAAAAATGCAAAAATTAGCTGGGTGTGGTATGTGCCTATAGTCTCAGTTATTCAGGAGGCTGAGGCAGGAGAATTGCTTGAATCCCCCCAGAGGCAAAGGTTGCAGTTAGATGAGATCATGTCACCGTATGACAGAGCAGGATTCTGTCTCAAAGAAATAAAAAAAAAAAAAAGTCAAACGAATTAGTAAATGGATGGATGAGTGAATGCATGCATGCATGATTTGGGGGGTGGGAACATTAGATGGCTCTACTAATTTAATCCCCTGTGTCTGTGGAAATCAAACACAGGAGACTGCTTTGTGCTTTCCACCAGCCAGCTCACCAGCTGAGCCCCTAATGGTGCCTTGGGCTTTACTTGGGAGTTTAATTAGCCCTGGCAGTCGATTCTGAAAGAAATGGAGAACAGTGATGAACACAAACAGGAGAGATCTGGGCAGTAACCAGCCTGGCATATGGCACCATGGATCACCCACTGGCTTTAGGACTGGACTAAGTCCTAAGTAACTGTACTTCTAAATGTTACTCATGTTTATTCTTTCAAGATGCTAGATGATTAAGACCTTTTCTTGACTGCCAGAAACCAAAATATGAGCTGCTTTTGGATGATTAGTGATATATGCAGAGTCCTTGAGGATGTAGTGGAGGTAGGGAAAACAGTTCTGGGTTAGGATTCAAGAGACTAAGCTTGATGCCTGACTTTCCCTGCAACTAGCTGTATGGCCCTGGGCAAGCAAGGTCATATTTCCAGGTTTAAAAGCCAATGGTTCAAAGAAATGCAGTAAACAATGATTCAAAGGAATTACACAGCAATGTGTTTATGGTAGATACATCATGAAGTTAAAGACATTTGCACTTTCAGGCATCTCACTGCCCTGGCTCCTTCCAAAGCCCTGTGTCTCATTTTGTTAGATGATATCACTGTCACAAACCTGGGTCTCATATTAAAGTTTCTTCCAGGTTTAAAATTCTATTGTTTCTGGAAAATGAACTTGAAAAAGAACATTTTCTGTTATACAACTCCATTGTACTCCATAACTTGTAATTTTTTAGTTTCAAGGACACCACTATGTCATATATACATTGTTCCTTTCTTTAGATACTTAGCATGATTTTGGACAAATCTGATAAAGAAAATTGAAAGTCCAGATCACTGGAATTTACTAGTAATGCTTAAAGTTGAGCCACATTCTAAACTGTGTAGTTGAAAATTCTACAGCAAGAATTCTTTAACTATAAGGTCTATGTTGGGTTATTATGAGTTTTGTTCTGGTCTCATTTTCATTGTTCAAGAATTCTGGACATCTGATGCTGCCCATGCAATTCTCTTCTTTTTCTTTTTCTAGAAGAGCTTTGCCTCTGGCCACTTGGAAGCTGGGCCTTGGGAGGTCCAGGGGTAAACTAACTATGCATTGAGGTGACAGTGCTCATTAAGACAAATCTTTACTCTGTGGCAATCTGGTTTGGACATCTACCCTAATTAAACTGGGAAAATTTGGGGAGGACTCAGGAATGATCTCAATTATAGACACTTCTGACTTATAATGATTCAACTTATGATGTTTCAGTTTTACGATGGTGTGAAGTTCACTTTTAGTAGAAACTGTACTTTGAGTACCCATACAATTATTACAATTATTCTGTTTCTCACTTTCAATACAATGTTCAATAAATTACATGAGCTAATCAATACCATATTATAAAACGGGCTTTATGTTAAATGATTTTCCCAATTGCAGGCTAATGTAAGTGTTCTGAGAACATTTAGGGCAGGCTGCACTAAGCTATGATGTTTGGTAGGTTAGGTAGACTCAGTGCACTTTCAACTTACAATATTTCCAACATACACTGGGTATATCGGGTTGTAGCACCATGGTAAGTCAAGGAGCATCTGTACTTGCGGGATAACTACAAGGCTCAATCCCCATGGTTAGTGTCATACTCGGCTAGCCCAAGAGGCTAGAGCAAGCAAAGTGGATGGCAGGGGAGGCGAGTATCTCTGGGCTGCAAGTCCTTACAAAGGGATCTTTTTTCCCAGGCTTCTCAGTCCTCACAACCCATACACCCTGCCAGCAAAGAACACCCACAGGACATTTGTCTTCAGCTTGCTGTTCAGAACCACTATAAGGGCTTTGCCCTGTAACAGTTTGGTTTGGACATTTACCCTAGGCAAACGGGGAATTTTTTTGAGATAGGGTCTCTTGCTTGTTACTCAAGCGGGCCTCAGCCTCCTGGGCTCAAGCAATACTCTGGCCTCCCAAGCAGCTAACCGTGTGCCCTAAACTTGGAAAGTTTATCTGGTTCATGAATTCTCTTAATTATTTTGTTTTTCTTGTAACTGGTATTTTGTTCCCTTTTGTGAGGAGGGGAAAGGAAGTATTTTCTTTAACTTATCTGGCTTTGTCATTTTCATCAAAAATGAGGTTACAGATCTACTTCTGACTTTAGTTTGTAACAAACCCCAGAATTTTGTTATTGTTTTGCCTCTGACTTTTGTTTCCCCAACATAGAATCACTTCCATCTCAGAATTATAACCCCTAGGGTCCCTAGACCTGATAGTAAAAATTCAAGATCAGTGGACAGCTTAAAGGATTTCCAGTTAACATTTACTCTACCTTCTGAAATTTGCATCTCCCATTGCTTTTTTTCACTTAATTTTAATTTCTATGTGTTTGTTGGTTAGCTGGATTTAAATAGACATTTCATTTTTAACCAGTTTTAAAGTTATTTTTTATTTTTGGCTCATAATTACGTTTTAGTTTATATTATTTTATTGCCATTTTATTCTTAACCAGCCAGGAGCTGGCCTGGATTAGAAGAACTGGGTTCTAACCCACCCTGATTGATCTATTACATTGTTACATAGGGTGCTTTACTTAATTCCCCAGACTGGGGCTCAATCAATGTGATGGCCCCTCTTTTAACCATGGTCTAGTAGCCTATAAATTGGCTTTGTTTTTTCATTCTTATTTCTATGTTAGCATCTTAACAAAAATTCCTAAACTTATTTAGGAACAAATTGTTATTATATGAGGCTAATGGTAATTAGAAATAACTAGAATAATTCCCAAGAAGTTATGATTTATAAAATATTAATTTTTGGCAATGACCAGAAATGTCTACCTTTAAATAAATACCTGTGTCTACTCTTTTTGGGGCTGGCGGGGTGCCTTCTGACTGGCCTCCACATGTGGGAATCCATTCCAAGTGCTGCTTGATTGTAATATTGGACCAAGCCCGTCGTCACACTGCCCAGTCTTTGGGTGGGGGAAGCTGAGAGATTCTGTGAATATTGTTAGAAGGGACATGTTTTTTGATAGGTTAAAAAAAAAAAGCAGCAGCAGCAAGGTCCACAGGTCCCCTGATTTTAGCCATGACGTAGAAAAGCTCCACACAGACCCTCCTCCCTTCCGCTCTGGCACAGAGTCCCGTTGTCCTTTCAAAGGCGGTGTCAGAAACCCTGTGGTGAAATTCAGCCTGTGGATTCCAGAAATTTGGAGTGTTCTTGGGGGGAAAAATCCACATACACAAAGCAACATTTGGAGATCCCTGTGGTGAGTTGGGAGGTGGGGAGGGCACGCAGTGTGGGAAGGTTGGAGGGGAAAGCGCTGGTGCACATCCTCCCTCTTCTTGCCAGGGCTCTGAGTGTCAGGGCCGAGATGGAGATGACACCCCGGCAGAGGAGGAGGCAGGGTGCTGGGGGCAGGGCATGGACTTTGAGGTCTGTGCTGAGCTTTACAATTCGCAAGCTCTTTCACGTTATCTTGTGAGTCCATGGCTCCATAGCCATTTTAGTCACAGACATTGACTTTCACAGTGGCTAAATAAATTTCCCAAGACCACATGGTTGGGGGAAAAAAAAAAAAAAGAGTAGAGGCACACCCAAATCCAAAAATTTTGTGCTGGAAGGCTTTCATGCCATAAAACGTTTCCACCTCTGTTTATCACTTATGCCATAAGTTCTACTACTCTAATTTCTTTGGAAGCTTAATTGATTTTTTTTCTCCTCCCTAAGACATATGCACTTAAATTCTTTAGGAAGTATTATGCCTGAGTGTGGCTAACTCCCTACCTAAGAGCAGCTTCCATAAGAAGGAGCTTCTCAGCAGGCAAGGAGAGAGAGGGCTGGAGAAAGGCCAGGCATGGTGAGCAATTGTGGACCACCCAAGGGCCTGGACTCTCAGAGTGGTGATAACATGGTGGTAGGGGTTTGGGGAGATGTCCAGAAACAGCAGCCCTGGAGGCCACTGCAAGGGAAAACAGGAAAAAGGCAATGGGTCAATTTCCTTCTTTGAACCAAGCCAACTAATGCCTGTCCAGGCCCCTTCATGTAGCTCCAGAATTCATTTGGTGCAGAATTCAGAACACTGAATTCCTTGGAGCCATTATTGAGGCTTGAAAGTTTGGAAGCTCTGTGTTAGCGGCATTTAGGGACAGTTCAGCCAGAAGTGGATGTTCCCTACAGACACAAAATTCTAGAAACTGCATTGTTTCCTAATGGGATCACTGGTTATGGACTCATGGAGATGAAAAAGTCTCCACAGTGGGAGAGAAACTGAGAGGTCCTGCATCCAGCTGGTGAGACCCAGTGCAGTAGGGACTGGCCCAACGCCACCTGGTGAGTTAGGTTGTTACAATCAAATGCACTTGCAAAATCCTAATGGGGAAGCAGGGGGTGGAGGTGATACAAGGATGGAAAACATTTTGTCAAGCATCAGATTATGACAAAGGCTCTTCCTAAAAGTTAAGAATAGGATGACTGAAAGGGGCCTATGACATATTTTATATATTTGGTGGTGGCACTGGCATTTGAGTATTTCTAGTTTGCTTTTATTATCTGGATGATGAACAGTAACAACAGCAGCAGCAGCAACAAACTCTTACATAAAATTCATCTCTAAATGCCAAAGCAGTTTGTTTCTCTAAATATAGCACACAAAAATAGAGAGGCTTTACATAAAGTAACTTGCTACTAATTATCACTTGTGCTTCCCAGTCAGGTAAGGGCTGCACAGTTCAGATGAAAGCCTCCACTGGCTGCTTGTTCTCTGCTCAGCTCTCGGCCACAGACACCTGCCCTGCCTTGAGATTAGGACACCTTCCTCTGACAAGGGCAGAGATCTCCAAACTCACTGACAGTTCCTTTCCATGCACAGGGAGGCAGAAGGGGCTTGCAGGTTTCCACTCAGCCTATTTCAGGTCTGGCCTAAGCAGCCCCTTTGCCTGTGGAGCCAGGTCTGACCCATGGCCTATGGTGGGAAGGCCACGCCAGATGCAGATATGGGATGGGAGCTGTGGCTCCATCTTCTCATTCTCTTGCAGAAGAGGATGTGTATGGTGCTCCTTGACTTAGCAGCTGCACTCAGGAATTTTATTTATCATGGTTTTTTTCCTAAACAGAATTTCTGTCTATTTAGTTCACAGGATGTTGATGGATTTCCCTTCCTTTTGGGTTCCTTTCCACTCAATGAGGGTCCAGGCCTTCCCCCTTCCCAGCATAGTCTGTCCTGCCTGGACACTCTTTCATGGGCCTCTGGGGCCAGAGGATGAGTCCCTAATGCTGTCTATCGGCTATATTCATGTCCAATTCAGTACACAGTCATTGAAGAGCCACCCTGGGAGGATCCACCTAAAAGAGCAGCTTGCATACGTGCAGGGCTACATGGGGTTCAAAGGCCTTTCATGGTCATTAACTGCTTATTTGTCCTAGAAGTATGCCTAAGCCCAAAGTCTTGCTATATAATATGAAGACAAGATTTTCACGAGATTCCTGTAACCAATGAAGAAGCAAGCATTCAGTAATCATGTGGATCTAATGGTTTAAGTGTCACTTATGGGTGACAGGTGATGGGTTATGAGGATTAGATAAGAGCTGTTTGTAAGAATGTCTACGAGGTACAGTGACAGGCTCTGGTCAGATATTTTGATCACTCTACAGTGCCTGAAAGTGTTGTAAGAATTGTATGTGCATCTGTATCTAACAGAATCTGCTTATATCTTCAGAAAACTTTGTCATAAATTTAAATTACTCAAAGTGTCTGATCTTCAGATACTTTAAATAGTGCATTTGAGAATGGGAATGCTGATTACAGTGTTTATAAGGAAATAGATAATATTCCATTAATAACTATGAAAATCTGCTAAAGCTTAGACTAAGCTGAATATATGTAGTTATAATAAAATTGGGTGAACACATTCCAACTTCAGCCTGATTAAGGGAAAGGGTGTAGGGGTGAGACAGGTGGAGCTCGAAAAGGAATACTGAGAGTTTGGCCAATGGGAAGGGAGGCTGTGCCAGACAGGAATGTGTGGGCTGGTGACAACTGAGGGCAAAGTTCTGGACCTCTCAGAGTTGGGCAATGAATACAGAGGGGCTGAGGTTCATCTGTTGCCTTCAGCTCTGCAGGCTACATCTCAGGGTGTTTCCTGTGAAAGTTCCAAAAGAAAGCTGTATGGTCTACTTGGGGAAATCTGTGGTTCATGCTGGAATGCTAGACATACCACATTATTGCAAAGATGCACTGAATGACCGACAAAATGAAACTCAACTTTCCAAATGCTGGTAATGAGAGAAGATTCAGTTCTAATGACCAGTTGTTTCCCAAAAGAATGTCAGCTCGATTCATAATGAATGCATTCTAACCATGACAGCCAATCAGGACACAAAAAATACCCCCAATCCCAGGAAACAGCTCTCTGGAATCTGTGAGCTCTAGAACCTAGATTGAAGAAACTCTGACACCCCTGCCCCATGATCAGCCAAAAGTAAGAGTTCCAGGAAGACTGAGGCCACAGAAGGCAGGGGCCTGCCCCCTCTCCAGGAGGTCCCAGACCCATGTGGGGTCATGGGCAGGGCATGAGTGATGTGATTGCTGGAGGGAAACTGGCTCCTGGCTCCAGGTAGAACGTAACCAGCCGGAGCCTCATAGGAGGTCCCTGGCCAGGTCAGCCCATCAAACCAGGTAAGTCCTTGGGAGTCTGAACAGGGACAGGAGACTGTTACATGCTTTGGTGAGGATCAGGAAGACATTAGAATGTGGTGCTAGGAACTTACCTTTGGAGTTGAACAAACATGGCTTTGTATCCACTTTGCTATCGACTGAGTGGCTTTGAGTAGGTGGCTTCATTTCTTAGATCTTCAGTTTCTTCATCTTCACTTGTAAAATGTTTTTAAAAAATATTTTAGGCTGCTGAGGGCAGTAAATTAGATCATGTACCTAAAGCACCCAGCACTGTGACAGACTCATTGGTACTTATTACATAGTGGGATAGCACCCTGGCTATTATGGCCTTGTGAAGGGGAGCTACACGGGAGGCCCAGCAGGGAGCTCTGAGTTAAAGATAGGTCCAGATCCTAGACTTCTGGCAACCCCCAAAGCCCCCCTCTTGAACATGATGGGGTGTGATGAGGGTGGGTCAAAGTGTGAAACCTCTATTCTTACTCCGTCTGCCTCAGATTCTCTCAAAGAGCACAGAATTGAAGGATCAGGAGAATTGAGATGGGCTCTGCCACTCCCTGGCTGGGTGACCCTGGACAAGTCCTTCAACCTATTGAGGCCTGGGCTTCTCCATTTGTACATTGGAACAAGGTTATCTGCTCTGTCTGTCACAAGATGGACTCCAGCCTCATTAGCCTGGCATTCAAGAACCTTCCATCATACTCCCTCACCACATCTCCCATGAGTCCTCTTCATGCCACACCAAACTCTTCTGGGCACTTCTTTCGCCCCTAGACAGAATGTTCTTGCCCAAGTCTCTGTATATCTAAAGCCCATATTCTCTGGCATCCCCTGCAGCACCTAGCACAGGGTCTTCCATAAAGCAGATCACTGCTTTCTCAGTTAGGATTAGGTTTGATTACATGGAACAAGAAAACAAAAATAATAGTTGTTTAGCAAGTTAGAAGTGATTTTTCTCTTATGCCAAAGAAGTGCAAAGGGAGGATTGCCCAGGACTGGGAAGGTGGCTCCTTGTGCTGGGGACCCATGATCCCTCTGTCTTGCCGCACCAGCACTCTTGGCACCTTATCTCATAGTCCCATATGGCTGCCTGGGTTTCAGATGTCTTATTCTCATTCAGCCAGCAGAGAATGAAGAGCGCTAAGCATGTATTCTCTTCCTTGAGGGAGGCTTCCTAAATGACACTTCTGCTTATAGCTTTTTGGCTAGAACTTAGTCACATGGTCATTATCTAGCTGCAAAAGAGGCTGGGAATGTAGTTTTTAACTGGGCATAGTGCCGGCCCTTCTTTCCTTCTTTTTTTGACAGGGATCTCCCTGTGTTGCCCAGGCTGCTATCCAACCCCTAGGCTCAAGCAGTCTACACGCTTTGGCCTTCCAAAGAGTTGGGATTTCAGCCTGAGCCTCCATGCCTGGCCATATTGCCATTTCTAATAAGATTGATAGGGGAGAGTAGGAGAATGGATATTGGCAACCTCTCTGCCACAGTTACTGAAAGAACAAAAAATATAAAAACTCACTATGAAGTTTAAAGCCCTATCTGATATATGAGATGATTATTACAAAACACTTAACTCATTTTAGATGAGTTAATTGTCCTGATTTTTAGGCTAAAAACAGCCCTATTCTTCTTGACCTCTAGTGGAAATATGGTGACATGTTTTTAGTTTTTTGCAGAGGCAAGGTCTCACTATGTTGCTCATGCTGGTCTTGAACTCCTGGTTCAAGTAATCCTCCTGTCTCAGCCTCCCAAAGTGCTCAGATTCCAGACATGCATGAGCCACCACTCCCAGCCAACATATTTTTTTTTCATAAAATGATAACTCAGAGTTGTAAGTGAAGATAAATTGTTGGTCCTTCCCTTTACCTTGCCATATTTTACTACTGAGGGAACTGAATGCCAGTGAGGCTAAGTGATGTGCCCATGACGGCATAGCTGAATGGTGAAGAAGTCAGAATGGAATGTGAGTTTCTGGACTCCATCAGGGCTTCTTCCTCCATGAGCAGTCCATTCAGGTTCTGCTGTCACCTGGAGGCCCTGAATTCTGTGCATCTCCTAACCCTGCATGAGGGCCCTGCTCCTCCAGCACCCCTGGAGGCAGATCCAGGTCTCCTTATTGTCAGCCACATTCTTGCCAGCACGTAGTTCAGAAACCTTCCATCTGAAGAGAGGGAAACATAAGAAATAGAGGGGCATGCTATTAAACTAATGAGGCCTTTTTGCTAAGAGCAAACAATCTCTTCCTTTCCTTGGCACCCAGAATCTGCAGGGCCCTGAATTAGGCACTGAAGGGAGATCCAGGGAAGCATGAGGAATGGTCACTGCCCTTGAGGGTCTGGATGTATAGGTTCATTCTACTTTTCAATCATTAATTCAAGAATTATTTCTTGAGCCTCTACTAGTGGCCGGCACTGGGCCTGGCACTGGGTTTAGAGCAAGAATCATGGCACTGGTATACAACAGTAAACTGCAGATATGGTTCTTGCTCTAAAATTGCTTATAGTCTAATGGGGGACAGAGGCAAGTAAACAGGCAACTACCAAATGGAATGAAGATTGCAATGATGGGGAGGGGGCGGGGTACTCTGGGTATAGACTGGGGTAGGGGGGCAAGGCTGAGTGGATGAGACATCATTGCAGTAGATACCCAAAGACTGAGTACGGGTAAGCTAAGCATGCACCATGAGGGGTGTGGTGGGTGGGATGGAAGCGTATTCCAGGTGGAAAGAATGTGCAGGAGCACACATAACCCTCTGACCAAACTGCGGGCAGGCCTGAGGGATGGTGGTGGTGAAGGTGGGGAATGCTGAGGAACACAACCAAAAAGGTAGGCTGGGGCCAGTAACTGAAGGACTTTGAAAGGCCTGTTGGAGAGTTTCTGTGTTATCTCAAATGAGATAACCGGCTTGAAGCAGATTTGTATGTTAAAGTCCTCTGGCCTCAGGGTTAGACAGCGGATGAAAGCAAGCAGGACCAGATTCAGAGAGGTCAGTAAGGAGCTGTTACTCCCAAAGAGCTGATGGTGGCTGGAACCAGGAGAGAGCCGCAAGAGATGCAGAGAGGTTGAGGAATTTGAGAGATCTTTAAATGGCACAACCAACAGGTTTGGTGCCTGGGCCAGAAGTAGAAAATGAGGAAGATGGAGGAAACCAATAATTATGAAGATACAAAGTCAGAGGTTAACAAACAAAAGCAATAGCCATTCTCCAGGAAGAAAATAGTGGCACGACCATGTGTTTTGAGCAAGGAACAATTGCTGTGGGCTAGAGAGAGTTTGAAGGACTTCCTAGAAGAGCTGGGATTGGAGCTGGGTGTTAGATATGGGTAGGATTTTGGTGGGTAGAGAGGACATTCCAGGCTAAACAATGATGCAAGTTAAAGTTCTGAGGCAGAACAGCGTGTAATCTGTTTAGCATGGTTTGGTCATGGTGTTCTTGGGAGACTCCCAAAGAGCTGATTCTCCAGGGGGTGCTACTAAAACTCTTATTGAAAGGAAGGACTGCAGAGATGAATCTCCTCACTCTCCCAGAATGGTACAGAGCTCTTCATGGACCCCTGGGCTACCTGTGTAGGAACCTCAAGGGGTCTGTGGACCACTAGACAGCCCAGCATACCTGAAACCTCACAGATACTGGCTTCCACCATGACAAAGATGAAAAATCCCTCTTTCCCAGAATCAGTACTTTTATTCTCATAGGCCTCCTGCTGTGCCCCACTCCCCATGTTGAGAGCTGCTGTCCCAGGTGTTGCTTCACTACATCTAGGCTCCTGTGGAGCCCTGCCTGCCAGGACACACTGGTAAGCAAGGCCTGCAAAGCCATCAGGGAGACTACATGAATCCAAGGCGGTGGAAAACTTAGGTTTGGATATTCTCTCTTCTCCTTCCTGGCTGTATGACCCTAGAATAATTACTCAACCTCTCAAAACTGAGATTCAGAGAGATTGAGTAATTATTCTAGGGTTACGCAGCCAGGAAGGAGCAAAGGGAGTATCCAAACCTGAGTCTGTCTGACAGCAAAGCCTGTTTTCTCCATCTCTCCAGGTACCTAAGCCAGGTGAGGGTTTAACTTCCTTTCTTGAATGAAGGTTCCAATTCCTAGGTAGGAAAGCACAGTGAGTAGGGAAATATTTACATGGAGGCCACACACCCCAGCCATTTCCCAACCCGCTCTTGTGTGATCCTTTTGAGGGTTTTTTTTTGTTTTGTTTTTGTTTTTTTTTTGTAGAGTCTCACTCTGTCACCCAGGCTGCAGTGGTGTGATCTCAGCTCACTGCAACCTCCACCTCCTGGGTTCAAGTGATTCTCCTGCCTCACCTTCCTGAGTAGCTAGGATTATAGGTGCGCACTACCATGCCCAAATAATTTGTATTTTTGGTAGAGACGGTTTCACCATGTTGGCCAGGCTGGTTTTGAACTCCTGACCTCAAGTGATCCCCCTGGCTCAGCCTCCCAAAGTGCTGGGATTACAGACATGAGCCACTGCGCCTGGCCTGGAGTCTTTTATAGATGGGAAAACCAAGGTCTGAACACTAGCGAGGGCTCCCCATGCCATCATGCTACCTCTCTATTTTCTCAGCCCCTTCTGCAGGCCCCATGCCATAAGAACATGACTCCTAAGGTTCAGGCCTATGGCCCCAGTTTAGGTGGTGCCTCCACTCTGCTCCCTTACACCCCAGCCTACTATTTGAAGGCCAAGACTACTCAGCTTTGATTCAGGTTGAATGAGTCATGAAGGGTAAAACAAAGAAGAGAATAAAACAAAGAAGATCTACTTCCTTGTGGATGAAATGAACCCACCCACCTTTTGACTTCTTTTTGTTCTGGAATGATGGCAGCATGCCGTCACTCATCACACTCACAGCATGCTATGAATCATCTCACTCACAGAGACTACTTTGTATTTTTTCTTGAAAATGAAGAGACAATACACCAATAAATTAACTGAAAATGGCTCGTGAAGGGAGGGAAGAATGACCTCCAGCACATCAGGGCAGACAGAGTCAGGGCCACAAGAAGGTGCAAGAGTGGGAGGGAACCACAATGCCTTGGCAGAGAGGAGAGCAAGTGGGAGCCAAGCCACAAAGCTCTTCAAGGGCAATCCATGGTGAAACCTGAAGGAGTCCTGTCCATCCCCAAGTCTGCTTGAGTTAAAGTCCTGCCCTGCACCTTCACAAGCAGCTGTGGGGAAGGGAGGAAAGATATTTTCAAAAGAGCCATCATGGGTGGGGTGCGGGAATGAAAAACTCGCTTTGTCTAACACAGAGAGCCTCTCCAAGCCAAGCTGTCTGCTTCCGGGCAAATAAGGGAATGGAAGTGGGACAGAAGACTCTTGGAGCCAGCTATCAGCGTTTCTGTCTGGAGGAATGAGCTGAGAAGGTCTGAATCTTCTCCAGCCTGTTCTGCAAATGTGGGATAATTGCACAATGGCTGGCGCTCACGGCGTGGCTCCGGCATTATCCAGGACTCTGGTTCTTGGTGATGGGAAAGAGGACAAAATTGGAAGCCAGAGGAGCTAGGGCTGGATGGTCTGGAGGAAAACATCCACTTCTCTCAGACTGTTTCCTCTGAGGAAACAGATGATTGCTTCCACCTACCTTAGAGGTTGGGAGGATGAAATGAGGTAATGCTTGTGGAGCTGTTCTGTAAACTGTAAAATGCTATGCAAATGCTGCTTGTTAACATGTTTACAGATGTGGGTGAGTTAACATAGTCTGACAGACTGGACCTCAAACTCATAGTCCAAGGCAATAGGGGCATTATGTTCCGTGCCTTAGCCTCCGGAAAACATGATGAAATTGGAAATGCATTTATTGAAAATGAAAAGTTCTCTACAGAGCTTCCTGTCCTTTCCAGTGAATTCCAGGCTTCCCATGGTGCTTTCAGGGCTCCCCCAGAAGGTGCTGGGGAAAGCTGACCCAGCTTTCTGCTTGCTATGAAACTCCATTTTTGGTTCTGCTCTGTGACCATCTCCACTTCAGTCACTTGCACCGTTATGAGGACTGAAAAGACTCTTGGCAGAAAAGTAGTTTTTTGTTTCATAGCATTAGAGTTTGATATATAAAATTATTTTTGAACAGAAGAAGTGTGCAGAGGAGTTCATAAAGGGTGGTATTTTAGAGCTGAAAGGGACTTGGAAGACTGTCTAGTTCAACCCTGTGATTTTTTCAGGTGAGGAACTGAGGCCCAGGCAGAAAGACTGGTTTTCTCCAGATCTCACACATGAGACAGTGAGCCAGGGTTAAAATCCCCAGGGGTCTGACTCCGATTCCTGTGCTCCTTCCCTTACCCAGGGTCAAAAGCTCAGATGCTTTCAGAGTCCAGATAAGTGACGGGGAGGGCACTGGTGGGTAGGAAGGTAGGGAGTTGCGGGATGTTCGGTTCTGTTTATGTTTATCCTGTTAGAGGTTTAATGAGCTACTTGAATCTTAAATTTATGTCAGTCATCAAATCTGGGAAGTTTTCAGCCATTGTTTTTTCAATTTTTTTTCTATACTAATCTCTTTCTCCTTGCCTTTAAGGACTCCAATGACTTGAATGTTAGACCATTTGGTATTGTCCCACAGATCCCTGAGGCTCTATTCATTATTTTTCAAGCACTTTTTTATCTTTCAGATTAGATAATTTCTGTTGATCTACCTTCTAGTCTACTGACACTACCTCTATCATTTGCATTCTGGTATTGGGCCCATCCAGTGAATTTATTTTAGATACTGTGTTTTTCAGTTGTAATATTTCCACTTGGTTCTTGTTTTTATAGAATTTCTCTTGCTTGACTGAGAACTTCTGTTTTTCCATTCATTGTAAGAGCATTCACCTTTATGTCACACAGGATGATTATAATAGATTCTTTAAAGCATTCTTTTCTAATTCCAACATTGTCTTATCTTTTCCCTTAACAACTCCTCATGTTTTCCTGGTTCTTATCACGCTGGGTAGTTTTCAACTGTATCCTGGACATTTCATATGGTATATTATGAGACTCTGGTCCTGTTAAAATCATGAAGCATGTTGAGTCTTGTGTTTTGGCAGGCAATCCACCCCATTAAGTTCAACAGCAAGTTCTGTCTCACCTTCTGGAGGCAGTGGTTTCAATGTCAGTTCAGCTTCCAAAGCCTTTGTTTTGCTGTTTGGGTACCACACAGGCACATCTTGCCGGTGAGCTCAGGACTTGTGTTGGCTCCTACATGGAATCCCTTTCTCCCTCTCTTTCCTCTGAGAGATTTCCCTCTTGCAGGAAAAGGACCAGCTTCATTTCCTGGTCGCCTGGCTAGAAGGATGAATTGCTCTCAGCACTGAAGTGGCTGATGATGCCACAGAGTTTCATGCCACTTGGCCAGACCTTAGAGCAAAGTGCAAGAGGAAAAAAGTGAGGACTCACCTGATACTCTTGACTTAACAGGGGCCCCTTTTCTGAACTTCTCTACCCAGAGGGACAGGTTTTCTCTTGAGATTTTAGTGCTCAAGCTGCTGCCAAGGTGGCGGTGGTGCAGTTTGGGGGCTGCATCTGACCGTGGGGCAGAGCTGAGAGAAAAAAAAACAACGATTTTCCCCCCACTTTCTGTCTTGCAGGGGCCCCCTTTCCAGATTATCCAGGAAGATGGGCCATTTCTTGGGGTTGTTGATGTCTATGACAGGACATGGAGGTTTCAGGATTCAGTTCACTCTTGGGTCAAAGCCAGGAGGAAACAAATTCCAGGAAATTCACCATCTCCATGTTGGTCATTCATCGAATTTTGACTTCTCCTCACAATCTAGCTACTTTTAGAGGACATTTCAGAGACCTAAGTTAACTGCTTTTTGGTATTTTGTTAAGAGTCTTTGGTTGTAATCAATGAGGGAGGTAGTGTGCAATGCATTCCTTTCTCTTGGTTGGAACTAGAAGTTGAGCAAAGCACTTGGAATTCATCTTTTTTGGTTAGTGCTGCCCCAGGAATTTCATGGACAGAATCCCAAAATAGAACCTGTATTTGGGAATCCCATATTCCCTGGGCCAGTGGTGGCAGGTCCGAGGAGTCCATGGCTTCAAGTTTTCTACCTTATTTGGGTAGACACTTGAAACAATGCTCATTCAACAAAGATGTATTGGGTGCCACCATATGCTATGTCCTGGAGATACAAAAATGACTAAGACATGGTGCCCACCCTCAAGGAGCTCATAGGTGAGTGAAGTAAAGGGATTTGGAGTAAAAATTTAGGATCTAAGCTTGAAAGCTTCTTTCCCAAGGCATTCTGTGGTCCCAGAACCACAGCACATTGTCAGAGAGCATTTCCTAGCCTGATTCCTAGCCTGATTATGGAGTTTTGCCTTTCTAGAAACGTCTATCATTGCTTCTCTCCTCTGAGAGGAACCAACAGCAAAGCACTGTATATTCAAAAACAGCCTGTAAACTGCTCCTTTTGTTTTGTGAACTCTACAAATACCTAGATTACCTGTCAGTAATAGTCTTCTTGCCTATTAAACATACACTTAAGAGAACACAGTCTGGTTTGGGGCTGGAGAGCTCAAAAGGGAAGTGTAGACAATGGAGAGTGTTCAGTTTAGTAGATGGCATCTGATATTTAAAAATAAGGAGTGGGAGAGTTGGGGGCCATCTGGCAAGGAGATAATCCTTCATAAAGCAGATTAACCTTACCTTTGTCTTAGTTCACACTACTGTAACAAATTACCGTAGACAGGGTAGCTTAACCTACAAACATTTATTTCTCATAGTTCTGGAGGCTAGAAATCTGAGATCAGGGTGCTAGCAGGGGCAGGTTCTGGCAAGGGTCTCTGCCAACTTTTGTTATATTCTCACATAGTGGACAGAGAGCTTAAAAAGCTGCCTGGTACCTCTTCTTATAGAGGCACCAATCCAATTCATGAGGGCTCCACCCTCATGACCTAATCACCTCAAAAGGCCCCACCACCTTATACCATCACATTGGGGATTCAATTCCAACATGTGAATTTTGGGGGAACACAAACATTCAGTTCATAACACTCCCCAGTCCACCTGTGCTGCCTTTTATCTTTGAAAGTACTTACTTTCTCTTTCTGAATTGATGTAATGCCAGAGCATTGGATCTGGGAAATGAGGTAGAAGGTGAGAGGGACAAATTGGGGTTCAGCCATTTAGCTAGCATAAGTAGGTGCCATGTGCCAGCAAGGGCACCCTGTGCATGAGTTAGCTTACCACACTCACAACAATCAGCAGGCCTGTGTGATAAGTGCTATGTTTCCTATACGGTAGATGAGGAGACCAAGACTCAGAAGTGACGTGATTTTCTTCAGGTATTAGCTGGCAAATTGTAGACTAGAATCCAGGTTTTGGCCAGATGTGGTGGCTCACGCCTGTAATCCCAGCACTTTGGGAGGCTGAGGCAGGTGGATCATGAAGTCAGGAGTTTCAGACCATCCTGGCCAACATGGTGAAACCCCATCTTTTAAAATAATAATAATAATATAGAATCCAGGTTTCATGAGTGTGGGTTTTGTTGATCTAGTTTACCTACTGCGCCAGCCTGAAAGACTTTGGGGTCCGAATGTGTACCTTTTCATACCACTAGAGCCCCAGCAGTCTTCTAAGTGACACATGAGCCATACTGGGGAGGAGTTTGGGGAAAGGAGACCTTACCATTGACACCAGAGTCTTGGGAGCTCATGAGAGAAGAAGATGCCAGCTGGGAAGCCAGATCCCAGGTTCTCCAGACCTATATCTCCTCGGAGCATAATTCAATCAAGTGCTTATTCTCCTCTTTAAAAAAACTAAAATGATGCAGAAACTAAACCAAGGAAGAAAACACAAGGGAAGGCCGGGATTGTTTTCCAGGACATTTTCCTCTGACCAGGAGGGTTAAGCTGGGGACAGAGGACTGATGAGGCTCCATCAGAGGCAGCCCAAGGGAGAAAAGTCATCTCTTCTATCGCCACCTGTCCTTAGTACTGGCTCTGACCCAAGGAGAGCAGGGGGCATTGACATGGGAGGCTTCTCTCCTTCCTGAGTGGTCGGTGAGGGGCAGCTTCTCCTCCTACTCCAGGAGGGTTGAGGGAACCTGCATGTTGCATTCCAGAGCAGTCAGGGCTTCTCCTTGCCAGTCTCCTGCCTTCCCTTTCTGGCTCCTTTCCTCCCATCTTCTCATTTCCTCTTTCTCATTTAATAGCAGGGAAAACTAGCAAATGAACCTCGATGGAGCCTGACAATGAGCTCTGAAGAAACAAAGTGCCACATTTAATTTTATACACATATTATCTGCATTTGGTTTTGAGACAATCATAACCTTATTACCACTTTCTCCATTCTTCTCTGCTAGCTGAGTTTCATGAGACATAAGACATAGGCCATGCCCTCACAATTCTATACTCAGGCATCTTCCAGAATCACACATTCCTTAATGCAGTGAAGAATTGATGCTCATGAGTGACATCCTACCTTGAAAGGAAGAGACATGGCCACACATGATGGCTCACGCTTGTGATCCCAGCACTTTGGGAGGCCGAGGCAGATGGATCACTTGAGATCAGGAGTTCGAGGCCAGTCTGGTCAATATGGTGAAACCTCTAATACAAAAATTAGCCAGGCATGGTGGTGGGCTCCTGTAATCCCAGCTGCTTGGGAGACTGAGGCAGGAGAATCACTTGAACCTGGGAGGCAGAGGTTGCAGTGAGCTGAGATTGCCTCAGCCTGGGCGACAAGAGTGAAACTCTGTCTCAAAAAAAAAAAAAAAAAAAAAAGAGAGAGAGAGACAGTCACCTGGGGGATAGTAAATGTTCTATTTAGAAATGCATTTCTAGGCCAGGGATGGTGGCTCAAGCCTGTAATTCCAGCACTTTGGGAGGCCAAGGCGGGTGGATCATGAGGTCAGGAGTTCAAGACCAGCCTGACCAACATGAAACCCCGTCTCTACTAAAAATACAAAAATTATCCAGGTGTGGTGGTGTGTTCCTGTAATCCCAGCTACTCAGGAGGCTGAGGCAGGAGAATCACTTGAACCCGGGAGGTGGAGGTTGTAGTGAGCCGAGATCGTGTCACTGCCCTCCAGCCTGGGCAACAGAACGAGACTCTGTCTAAAAAAAAGAAAGAAAGAAAGAAATGCATTTCTAAAGTTCACCTTGTAGGGTTTCTTGTCCTGTATCTTTAAAAAAAGTAAATTTAAAACCCTGAATATTAGGCTGAGGATTTTCTCTTGAAAGAGACACAGAGTCATGATCAAGAGATTGGGAATTTCATGGCTTAAGAGGATTCTCTCAGAAGACCTTCTAGAAATAAATTCAATAAGCTCCAATAATCTGCAACCTATTTTTCTTTCTTTAAAACAAACAAAATTAGTTATGGAATTAAAATTTGAAAAATGCAGAAAGCTTAAAGGAAATAAACATTTCCTGTAATCTCACCATCCACTGAAAACCATGGTTAACATGACACAGGAGTGGGCTTGGGTTGGAAAACAAATAGGAAGAGAGTTTTACCTCTGGAAAGCATTGCTGCCTCCCTTCCACACTTTACGGCACATATTAGCTTAGTGACACTGTAGGGAGAAGCACAAGTTAAAGATAGCTTAATTTGGCAAGATTTACTGCCTAGCTAAGGGGCTAAAAAGATGAGTGGGGTAGAAGCAATGGTTTCCACAGCACCCCCAAGATGAGGGGTACCACTTGTGCAAATTTAGCACCAGGGAGCAGGGCCAGGCCAGAACCTCATCTCAATGTTTATCAAGCCCTCAGTATACCTTCCAACCCAGAAAAACAATAAAAATGTTAATTTTTGAAATCGCTAATAAAATATTAAATACAATGTCAATATTTATTTTAAACCAAATTGCCCTGAGAGCACAGTTGTTTCTAATGACTTCCTCTTCCCTGGTCCGCTATTTTTCGCCCCAGTCTCATCTTTCTGGACTTTTTTGCTGCAGTTGGTGAGCGTGGAAGGGCTGAAACCACTATTATCACCACTATCACTGCCGTCCCTTTTGCATGTCAACACCCCGCTGCATCCTGCACCTTGCCTCTTCCTTTATACTTCCTGCCTTGGGTGAGGTCCCAAGTATCATCCTCAGCCTGGGATCTTCAGGCTCCTAGAAGGTATTTCCTCTTACTCACCCACTGACATGTGCAATTGCAGCCCAAAGTTGAACTGGTTGTAAGGGCCCCCTTCAACTTGGCTCCTCTCTCCCCTCTCACTGCGTCCTGCCACCTATTCAGCTCTACTTGTCTGTCTCTTAGAGGGAACCATCTCTTCAGTTATTAGCCACTCTTGTGTACACACAACCTGCTGGTTTTCACTTCCTCATCTTTGCTCAGTTTTTTCCACCCAGGCGGCAGATGCCTCAAAACCCAGATGGACACTGCCTTTCAGAAGCTCTGCCTAACAAAACCCACCTACATCTCCTACTTGGCATCTCCAAGCACTCGTGTGTTTAGGCTAGGCTATATGTGTTTTCACGTTTATGTTGTTTTCATTCCTGACTTTATAGTGATGACAATACTAATTCCTACTTATTTAAGGGCTACCATGTGCCATGACATATACCTTTTTTAAAAAAGGGCATAGGCAGAAGGAGAGGAAAAGCAGTTCAGAGTACTAAGGGGCTATGATTGGAAGGGTGTCAAGAACCAGCTGTCTCACCCTCTGAAGGGCTCCCTGGCCCAGCCTGTCCTGCCTAAATTCTCTAATCAGAGTAAATGTCACTGGTGGGTAAAGATTCTCACCCTCACCTCTTTTACCCCTCCACACCTGCCCACCGCATCTCCACTGTTCAGTGCAAAGGCTCCTGGGAACAGTGACATTCTAAACTGTTAACAGCTGAAGCCTTCCAAAGGATTCTGTCACCCAGTGACAGTTGGTTGAAGACCGTGAAAGAGAGAGGTCCTCCAGGGTTGGGAGTGAGACTGACTGGGAAGGGAAATTACCAGCCTCAGGAAGAAAGAGACTCCCAGCCTGAGCTCCTTGTAGCATACTGGCAGAGTTAGAGCCTCATGCCTTACCCAGCCATGCCTTTGAGCCCCCTTCACAGTTTACAGGACATAGCCCTGCAGGGGACCCAGAGATGAATCAGACATGGATCTTGCCCTCAAGGAGCTTATTGTCTAGTGGCAAAAAGTGCCAACTGCATATAGCCAGGGCAATTTCAAGGGCTGTGGGACTTCAGAAGAGAGAAAGATGTGGATTGAACATCAAAGAAGGCCTGTCAGAGGAGGTCACATTTGAGCTGGACCTATGAAGATCTCAGGAAAATTTCCACGGGCAGGTGGTGCTAGTTATGGAGCCAGACCTTCAGTCTGAGACTGATCTGTGAGGGCTTCAGGGAGGGGGGAAAGATGGAGAAGGGTAAGAGGCCAAGGAGACCCTGGCCACCTTCTCTAGTAAGAGGACACCAAAGATCACGCATTGCCTGCTTTAACATTTTGCCTACCATTGCCCTGATGAAAATAGGCTGCTGTTTGGGAGGAGTAATTGGCTAAAAGTTGAGAACTCAGACTTGGATTTGACCAAGTTAAACCAACCCTGGGCCCCATGATTCTATGAGTCTGTAATTCACAGGCAGAGCCAATGACACACCTTTGGGACTAGGCAAGGCCTTTTGGTCATTGAATTCCCTCTGGGGGAATTCACAGGAGAATGGTGGATGGCAAACCCCACAAAGTGAATATGCCCAGGACTGTTTTCATGATAGTTCCCGATTATTGACTAGCTCATGCCTGTCAGCAGAGCCAGAATGGACACGTACTATAAAAAGTATGAGGGTAGGTAGAGGTGAGAAAAAGGACTGGCGGTGACATTAGATGGCAAGAACATGAAATGAGGTTACTTGATGAGAAATCCCGAAAATGATCAGGAAGGTAGTTAGGTAACTCAGTGATCAAAATGAGGTAACTGGGCGATAAAGGGGGAAATTAAGAAGCCTATGCTTTGTTGTACCCAGTTTTTTCCCCCACTGTTACTGTTCTAGAATTGCAGCTCTGCATTTTGTGGAAGTTACAGCAGAAATCTTGTAAAAAAATTTTTTCTCTTACAGGGAAATAATTCCCAAAATCTTAACTCTTTTCATAATATTTGTGCAAATTTCAAGAATAATTTTTGCTTGATCTTTGGTGGTACCACATGCTATGGACATTTGCCTTTAAATCCCAGCATAACCAGTATATTCCCAGGATTCTAGTCATTCCCAATGGGCTGAATTTAGCCAGGAGTAACCCTAGCCTTGCAAAGACAAAGCAACCCAGTGATATGGAACAAAATAGAAGCTGACAGACAAATCAGGTCTAGTCGATCAAAGGATGAAGAGCAGCAGACTCAGGCCAGAGGAAGTAGCACATCTTGGATGGCCAGAAAAAGAAGAGAAGGAAGGCATGTGGGGGATCAGCCCAGGTAGATGTCAATATGCAGGACTCTGGCCTCCAATCCTAAGACCCCTTGGGAGGGGAAGAGCATTCATTTTCTACTTCACTTTTTATGCACCTGGCTTGGTGGAAGGAGCCTTGGTCTTAGAGGTACAGTCCCTGCATCCAAAATGAGATGAAGCCTGCCTCTGGTCAAGTCAGGACCAGAAAGGCTAAGTTGATCTAACTTGGAAAGAAAACTTCATGCTATTTCAGTTTTATGCTCAATGGCTGCCTTTGAGGGGCAAGAACAGTACTAGAGGAGTACGAAGAATCTCAGGGTATGAGAGAGAGGAGGCAACACAGCCAAGTCCAGTGTGAGAAACTGCCTTCTGGGGAATTTCTTCACATAGCTGTATGTTTAGCTGGTCTCTCCAGCTTCTGTCTGACCTGCAGTAGGTTGCTTCAGAAGTCCAGTTTTCCTATGACCATTCCAATCCCCTGCAAAATACCTCTTTGATGCTCAACGTGGCAGTCCCCTTTAGATCTGACTTCTCTTTTGACAGCTTCTCCACCACCCTGTTTTATTGGTATAATTGTCTTCCCTGGAAAGGTGGTTCCCTTTCTTAGCTTCCTGTTCTTCTGCTCACCTCTTTTTCCTTCCTGCTGTTTCTCCACAAACACTTTGCTGACCTTCAATAATTTTGGTGTCCAGATTCAGTTTGGGGCCTACCATTGTTTTATGTCTCGCTGGGTCACCATTATCTTTGAGCAATGTCCTCATTACCATATATTTTTAAACTAAAAAGTTTGCATGAGTAGGGATCCCCAAGCATTTGATATAAGAAGAAAGGCACAGAAATAGGGTTATAATTTGGGGGCAAGCGTATTCCTTGTAGGAGGGAAAGGCAACAGGAGCTGGTTCCCAGTGCAGGGTTGGAGGAGGAGCTGTTGCCGGTACTGCTCATATGCAGCAGGCTGCTGGCACAGGGGGTTCTGGAGCTCCAGGCTTGGCAGGCATGGTGGGAGAGCTCTCCATTTTAAATACACAAAATATACATTCTCCACTTTAAATACACAAAATATTGATCGGCCATTATTGATACCCATTTTTAGAATAAAGCAACATTCCCATTCTCTCTCCCTCTTTTTCTTCCTCTTCCTCTCCTTCACTCCTTTTTTTTTCTTTCTTTTCTTCCTTCCTTCCAAAAAAAAAAAAAAAACGCTTTTGATGGATTTCTATGAAGAAAATCATCTAAATAAGAGTTTTACTCAAACCCGGGTCAGTACTTCCTGGTAGCTCAGGACTTGGAGGGGGCTGGCGGACACGCTGCAGAAGCACACCGACAGTGGTTTGGTCCTGCCTAGACCAGTTGCCATTTCACTCTTCTTCTTGCTCAGATTGGCTGTGCATTCTCTTGCTTTCAAAAAAATGTAACTGCATGAATGAAAGTGCTCTCATCCCCATTTCTGCCCAGTGAAATCCTACCTCTCCTCTCAGTTCAGCTCAAATGCCACCTCTTCTGAGGATCTTTCAGTGTCCAGTGAGAGGTCAATGTTCCCTCCTCTGGACCCAACAGCCATTTGGTTGGGTGCTCCCCTACACTCTAAAAGTGAGCATGTTAGTGAAGTTCTCATCTTCCTTGCTGGGCTGAGAATAAGTTAGTAGGAGATTGCTGAGCATTGAGGCTAGGATGAGCTGGTATGGTGGCACTTGTTTTTTCACCTGCCATTAAATCCCTGTATAGGAACTTCTCACTGAGCTTGCTTTCTCTGTGTGTGCGGAACTGCACGAAAACACTCCTCTTGGCCTTTTCTTTGCAAAGGCACAGTTAGGTCTGCAGATACAGAATCTGAGCAGCTGTGGCAAGGCAGCCCTGATCACATGGCCCATCTTTTCCATTCTTCAGCTGTCCTGACCAAAGGCCACATTGGAAACAGCTCTAAGAGCCACTAAGAGCTGTGGAGGCAGGAGTAGGGGAGGAAAGACAAATGTCAAAATTCATGGAATGATCCTGGGTAGCAAGTGGCTAACGGGGGATGAGAATGGGTGACAGAGCCTTTCATCTTTGGGGTCACAGCCTGTCTGGCTGCAGAGTAAGAAGGCCAAAACATCTGTCAGCTGGGCAGCAGCTCCTATGAATGAATTGCCTTTGTCTTGTTGGAGGCAGGGATGAGTGTGAGTTTATTTCCTCAACAGAAAGCCATGTAAACCAGGGATCAGATGGAATCCCTGGTGGCGGCCAGAAGCCCAGTATACTTTCAGACAGGAGATGCCCATCAACAATGGAAATGAGTACACAGGGCCTCAGAAGGAAGGGTCCTGTGTCTTGGCAGAAGGCCCCTCACCTCTCTATGAAGCTCTTTGGGGCAGAAGCCCTTGCCAATTCCAGCAAACCTTCATGGAGTATGGAGATGGCAGGTGGGGTGCCTGGTCCCAGTCACTCCTCTCCCAACTTCCCACTAGCTATGTGGGCAAGCTCACATTAGCAATGAGCTCAGGCCTCCTTTGCTCATTTAAGGAAAAGCAGTGATCCCATTATCCTAGGGGTGATTCTTTGCCCCAGACTCAGCTTCTTTTTTCTAACTTCCTTCAGCCCTGCTGGCTCCTCCTCAGCAGTAGCTAATGTAGGATGATGATCAGCAGCAGTTGAGTTATTTTTAAGTCAACAAACTACCAATGCTAAGAGTTCCTAAGAAAGCAGGGAATTCAGAGCCACGGAAGCAAATGCTAAACATGATTGATGGGCATGGAAGGGAATGATCTGCACTGCTGCTTAAAAAAGTAACCCCCCTATTTTTAGATTGCATTCCAGCCTGGGCAATAGAACAAGACTCCTGTTCTCTCTCCCCATTTCTCTTTCTCCTTCTTTCTTAAAAAAAAAAAAAAAAAAAAAAAGTAACCCCTTGAATTTAATCCTAAAAATGGCCAAGCTAGAAGAGTCCTTAGAAATCATCTAGTCTGCTTTTTCCCTCCCTAGAAATTTCTACAGATGAGAAAGTAAAGTGGATGATGATTTAGGGCTGAGGCACTTAGCTGATCCAGAGCTAGAAGCCAACTCTTTCTGCTTCCTATGTGAGTGATCTTTTCACAAAGATCAGTAGAATATGTTTCTGGATTTTTTTGTTTCAATGAGCTTCGTTTATTACACTTTATTTTTCATAGCATGGGCTCCATAAAACTAAATTACTCTATGAACTCTAATAAGGTCATTAAACAAGCGTCAAACACAGAGGAACTTTCAAGACATCAGGATACTAAATCAGCGGAGGTTAGAGTCAGTGGACAGTTAACTCTGAAATATCAGCTGGTAGCATATTCCAAATCAGTAAGGAAGGAACATTTGGTTCTTATACCACCCCAAGAGTGGCGGCATTCCAGCTGGTGAGTCCTCCTGGGCTCTTGATGCAGTGCTCTCCTCCAGCTCCTGCTTTGCTTTCTGGGGTAAATTCAATACCCAGGGGCAGGGAACCAGACTTGGAAGGTCCTCTCCCTACCTGTAACTCCTGCTTCAACACCCAGCT